ATATATATATATATATATATATATATATATATATATAGAGAGAGAGAGAGAGAGAGAGAGAGAGAGGTTATATTTTATATTTAATTGATTTCATGTTTCTTTTTTCAGTTCGCTGGAACAAAATCCTTTTAGGGGGTTTGGACGTTTTCGGTTGAATTTCGTTTTAAATGTAAGGGTCTTTGAATATGCCTTCTTCAAACCCCAAGCAGTTTATGAATTATGTTTTACATTTGATTGATTTCATGTTTCTTTTTTCAGGTATCATCAACGCTACACATCAGGTGATGATTTCAATGTTTTCTCATGTTTCTTAATTCGTTTTTTAGAGTTCTAATTGATTTGTAGTTATTGATTCTAACGTTATGTTGGTTTTTGGGTACGTTATAGAAGATGGGTATGAGTTTTTTGTAGATAGGGAGCTTGTGACAATTTTTTCTGCTCCAAATTATTGCGGTGAATTTGATAATGTGGGTATGATGATGAGTATTGATGAATGTTTGATGTGTTCTTTTCAAATCTTGAAGCCGGATGATAGGAAACCAAGATTCTTATGTCATAATGGTGTCCCAAAAGCTTTTAAGGTTAGTATCAACAATTTAAGATTTGTTTTTTTATGCCATTTAGTATATACATAAACTGTGATAATGACTCTCATTATTTAAAAGGTAGGTGATAAATCTTGTAGGAAACAGTGGGCACTTTAAGATTTGAAAAGGTAAAGTTGATTGAGTAGACTTGGAATTAGGAAACCTAGCATATTCATGTGCTTTCATTGTTGTCCCTCGAAAAAGTGAGTAGAATTTAGACATGTATCTTTACATGTTAAGACATTAGGCTCTGTGATTGATGAATAAATGGATCCAGTAAAAGGTATTTCTTTTCGACTTAATGAACTTAATGGGGGATAAGAGTTAATTTGGTAAATTATATAGGAGTGTTTTATTTGGACTTAATGGAGAATTTGCTAAATTGTTTTAAGTGTCTTATAATAGTAAAATATTCCTATTAATAACTTGCCTACCTATTACTTATATATCATTTATTATTTTTACCAAATCTTTACGAATCTCTCATCATTTTCTGTGTCAAATATTTTTTATTAAAGTATTTCATATTTTTATAATTTCTTATCTTATCATTATATCTTTATTAAATATTTTTTTTAAGTATTTTGATATATTTATATATTTTCTGTCAAGTTTATTTTATCATTGCATTCTTTTATAATATGTGATTATTAGGTATCCCAACAACAAATTAAATTGGAATCATTTCTATATGTGGCTCGAATGCTATTGATAACATGTTAAACACAAAAGACGTTCTTCATAGAGGGGAATACACTGTGATAAGAAGCTTAATTCATGTCTTAAGAAGTAAGCAAATGAACCTGTTTGCTTACAAATTTCCCATTACAACATTCTTGAGTAACTTATTTTTGATTGACATGCTTTTAGGTGGGTGTTGAAGGCAAAACACAGGTGGACAAAGTAATTGACATGCTTTTTGGTGGGTGTTTGTTCTTATTTTATTGTATATTATCATGAAGGTTGTTAAATATTTTTATGTTTTAAAGTGAAGAAGATAAAGAAAATGAATTCAAATGGATTAATCTCTGCAGATTCTGACTAAACTGTAGGTAATCATTTTCATTTTTGGTTATCATATACATATGAAGTTCTTGATCACATTATTCCTTCTAAAGAATCTGGACAAAAAGAAGCATTCACCTCACAAAGCTTGGCAACGTCCCCAAAATATATTCCAAGACAGCTAATACTCACAGGTCGTTTACCTTAAAAACCAATTTTCAAACATCCACCTTAAAATATTTCCTCCTATTGTCAACAGTTGAAAATGTTAGTTGACCAACTTGCAAACATTAATGCCGTCATCTCTAACCATCTTTTTGTTTTATAATTAATCGCCCGAATCATATGTTAACATCACCACCTTCATGCACCAAAGTAATTTGGTACCTCAATTTTACGAAACATTGTCACATTTGATTTTGGAATAAACATGTAATTAGGCTAAACAAGATACCAATTTCACCCCAAATTGGATCGGATTTTAAAATACTTAACCTCATTAATTAATTAAAACGAAAAAGAAAATGAAAATTTGGATAAAAAAATATAACCCCACCACACCACACCAAACCATAGTCACATTCAAACATTAAGTACACAAAAACATATTTTCAAGAAATTCTTCACATCAAACTGCAGCATGTGGGATGGTTGCCAGTGCGACCAGACGCAGGCTTTTGGAACTGAGTTTTAGAAGAAGATGACGATTTATTGGGAGTGTTTGGGTTACGTATATGATGTCCAGAACAGTCAGAAGCATTCCCTGAACATTCTAGATGGTTGAAGACATAGTTGCTCCTCCTGTAATTGGGGGGATAACCATACTCATACCCATACCCATACCCATTATTGTAATTATAACCATAATACCCATTGTTATTATAGCCTTCGTAACCTGGTAGATATAAGTTGTTGTTATTAACCGAGGGCAAGGGCAATTTTGTCTTCTCAAACAGGTTCTTTGAACATTCTCCATATTGCCAATGTACTATCTCTGCTGTTTTTCCTGCTTTCTCCAGACATTTCAGAAGTAAGACTGGATCGATGTATCCTGAAATGTTAACCTTCCCGTTGTTCTCCATTCTGAAATTAGTCACACCTTAATTTCACCACCAACAACAACAAACTATCAATCGACAATATTTAAGGAGAAAAACATGATTAATTAATAACCTAATTGTGTTCTAGAATGAATGAGTAGAAAACAACATACATACCTTGAACACTGTTCAATACCTTTTTTACTGTCTTGGCCCAGGAACCTTCAACGTCCACTTTAATGGTGAAGTTCTGCATGCAATAATAGGAACAAAACAGATTTCAAAATCATATATATTATATATGGCTGGCTTTACACACACACACAGAGGCACTTTCTATATATATTTTAGAAGGAACCAACCGTGAATGCAGGATATTCTTCATATTTGGACTTCTTGGATGCCATGGACGATAGGAACACCATACCTTTTAGAACTGTGGATGCAAAAGATGGGAAATAGGATATGTGTGTATTAATATATTTAAGATAACATCATATCTTATTTATTTATTTACTAGGTTAGAAACCCATTTATTCCATGGATAGACAACTTAGCAAATCATAGTACATTGGTAAAATATAAAGATTATCAAAGTACAAAGCTAAAATAAGACCAAAAATACAAAACATTACATGTATATATTACACACACAACACAAACACAAACACACGTACATCAGCAATGTAAGAGATCAAATTAAAAAAAAAAAAAAAAAAAAAAAAAAAAA